AGTATTCATCTTTTTTTAAGCCTTTATTTATGGATATACATTTTATTTATCTATATTTATCTGTTTATCAGTCACTTTCCTCTTTTTGCCTGTTGTAAATAATACTACTTTTAATGTTCCATAGAAGACATATATTTTCATTTCTCCTTTCCTCCCCCACAAGATAGGATTTCTCTGTGTAGTCATGGTTGTCTTGGAACTTACTCTGTAGACTAGGCTGGCAGTAGAATCTCACTGTGGATTGCACTTATGGTTCCTTGATGGCTGACGATGCGGGGTATGTCTCCCTGTGCTCAATGGTATATCTTCTTAGCAGAAGAGTTTATTCCAGTGCTTGGTCCATTTTTCAATGTTTTTGCTTGAGTATTTTAAGTTGAGGACCTTTGCTTTCATTCTGAAGGAGATGGTATTCATGATGTTCTCTGTTTGGGAGGGATGGAATCACTTCAAGTGCTGCATAGAGAAATAGGGAGGTACAAAATAGATCTTCGTGATGAGTCACGGGTTATCCAGGTGAGGAAAGAAGTTGATTGGCCTGAGGGAACAGAGAAGTTGGTGGTGCCTTATGAAGAGGAATGCACAGAGTTTGCTGATTTTTTTTTTAATTTGGCTGTGTCTCATTATATAGCTCTGGCTGACCTCTATAAAGTCACAGAGATCTGCCTGTTTCTGCCTGCTGAGTGCTGGGATTAAAGGTGTGCACCACCATGTCTGGCTGCTGATGGATCTTATGTGAACGGTTGAAGTGCTTATCATTGAGAAGCATGAAGGTCACAGCAACTGAGACTGCCTTCATGCCATATAATTTCTGAAACACAAGTGAGCCTCTTCATCAAAGGAAATTTGTTTTCCCAAGGTCTGGAGGCCAAAAGTCTGAAATGAGTGTCTGCAGGGCTACCCCCTCTCAAACCTGCAGTGGAAGACCCTTCCTGTTTCTTCTAGCTCCTGGTTACGAGGCTGTCAGTCAGTCCCTCATCATCTTTGGCTTTGTGGTACCAACACTGCAGTCTTTGTCCCACTGTGCCTGTGTCTAAATTTCCCCTTTCCCACAAGGATATTAGGCACAGGAGCGGGGCCTGGCTTAATGATATGACCTTGATTACACTTGAGAGGACTGTTTCCAAACCAGGTCATGGTTCAGTACTGTGACTGAGGTCTTCAAAACAGCTTTACAGGAGACACACCTCTTCCCACAGTGAGGGGGAACAACAGAGCAATTTGGGGATGAAGGAGGAAGCCAAGCCTCAGAGGGGTTATGTCCAAGAGTCCCATTAGGCCTCTTAGAGAAGGTGCCGAGGAGGCTGCTGAAGAATGGTTTTTAAAAACGTGACTCATGCGACTCTACAGCGAAGATGTGTCAAAGATTTATTTAATCATCAATGAACAAAGTCAGCCTGATGGTGAGACCAATTCATGAGACTGAGGCATTTACAGTGACTGACATAGAACTTGTTTGAGTAGACTTGCTAACCTAGATTACAAAATAAAACTATTAATTCTCTTCAGGGTCTTCAAACTGCCACTCTTTTATCATCTTTGCCCCTGGGCAGAAATAATTTTCTATTATTCACTATTGAGTTATTTGCACTGTCATCAGATAAGAATCAAAATTTAACTTAGCCATCTGCTTTCTGTAAGTTAAAACAAAACAAAACAAAACTCTACCTGCCAGGTGTTGGTGGCGCATGCCTTTAGTCCCAGCACTCGGGAGGCAGAGGCAGGTGGATCTCTGTGAGTTGGAGACCAGCCTGGGTCTACAAGAGCTAGTTCCAGGGCAGCCTCCAAAGCCACAGAGAAACCCTGTCTCAAAAAAGAAAAAAAAAAAAAAACCACCACCAACAACAACAAAAAACTCTATCTTTACTGACTTGTCTAACGCAATGCATACCCGAGGAATCTGAAAGTTCCCTTGGTGAGTCCTCTGGACACCATTCAAGCTGATGTTGAAGAGACACATGCTACTCTTTTGTTTAATCCTAAATTTTGGAAAAGCTTCATTAGTTCCCACTTGTGATGGTAATCTTCAAGGGTTATTGTTGTCCCAGGAGAGTCAGTTTCCTTGTGTGCTGACCTGATTCGTGTGCACAGGCACTGTGAGAAGTGCTAATTAACATGGACGAACCTCCTTGTCAGGTGGTACATCTAAGCCATGCATTACACAAGACCAAGGCCGGAAAATCAGCTCTGTCTGGAGATGTCATCATGAGGAATGTGGGACTGAGCCTCAATTATGCCTCAGGTATATTCTGACTTACCTTTCTATCCCTTGGTTAGGAAACTGAGCCAAACTAATCTGGAGTTTGCTAACAGTTCTTGTGTGTGTGGGTGAGTTCCCATTTTCTCACCAGCCTCAGTAGCTACCACGGTTCCTGGTTTTCCAGACTGTGTCTTTGTGTAGGGGCGGGCCTTTGTATGTCAGAGTACAGGTGCCTGGCAAGCATGGGTCTGAGGGTGGTGTGAAGCAACTCATGTACTCCAAACTTCATTCCATTATGGTGGACATGCCATGTGGCTCATGAGAAATTTAAGACCTTGTAAGGTCTTAATATAAGGCCTTAGTTATACAAATAATCTGATTCCCCAGTGAAAAGAACAAACAATTTCTATCATAACTATGCAAATCATTCAATTTTCTCTAAGAGGAAAGGTTCTAAGATGGACATGGAAGCAAATACCCTCAATCTCAGCACTTTGGAGACTGAGGCAAAAGGTCTGAGTTAAAGGCCAGTCTGGGCTACAGAGTGAGTTCCAGAACAGCCTGGGCATGTGGAGTCGTGTTGTCCCCCCCCCCCAAACACACAAAGAAGAGGCACAGCAGGGTGGTGACCCACTTAATCCCATCCTTTGGGAGGCAGAATCTGGCAGATCTCTTTGAGTTTGAGGCCAACCTGGTCTACAGAGAGATTTCCAGGATACCCAGAGCTACACAAAGAAGCCCTGTCTCAAAAACAAAACAACAACAACAACAAAAAATTAAAAAATATAGTTCAATCATTGAGCATGGTCACAATCAAGGCCAGCCTGTGCTATACACAGCAAGTTCCAATCTAGCCTGAGCTACATATTGAGACCCTATCTCAAAAACAAAAATCAAAGAATAGCAAATCCAACAAATTGAATTAAAAATTTTTGATAGATCTACTTCAATCATAATTCTTTATTTGAAACTATTCATGCCATCTCTTGTCATTTTCCATTTTTTTTCTTTATGAGAAGCCTTCTCTTTGTAACTCAGGCTGGCCTGGAATTCACTTTGTAGCCCAGTCTAGTCTCAAACTCACAATATTTCTTCCTTAGCTACCTACAGTAGTGCCAGGATTGTGTGTATATAACACAATGCCTAGCTCACGTTATGTTCCTTAGTTGCTATGCTTTACTCTTTTTTGTTGCCATTTTGTTTTTTGAGATAGGGTTTCTATATGTAGCCCTGGCTGTCCTGGAACTCAATCTGTAGACCAGGCAGGCCTTGAACTTAGTGTTTGGAGTGAGGGTATGAGCTGTCACTGCCTGGAGATTTAGTCTTTTATCTTTGTCCTTCTGTTTGTTAGTGTTATGGATTTTTCTTCATCTTTTCCTTACATTTGAAAGGTGCGAGTCACATTTCCATTTTTTCAGGTGGAAATTTTGATATTTTAATATTATAGTTCATTTTCTTTGGATTCTAAAGTCCTCTAATCATACAATTTAAGAATGTTGCCGGGCAGTGGTTCCAGGACAGCTTCCAAAGCCGTAGAGAAACAGTCTTGGAAAAAAAAAGTCATTGCACTTGCATTTTTTTCTTTTTCTTCCTTTTTTCTTTCTTTTTCCAGACAGGGTTTCTCTGTGTAACAGCTCTGGCTGTCCTGGAACTCACTTTATAGACCAGCCTGGCCTTGAACTCATAGAGATCCTCCTGCTTCTGCCTTCCCAGTGCTGTGATTAAAAGTGTGTTATCGAATTTTCACTTCTTGTTGCTGCTTCTCTTCACATATGTAGTAGAGTTTGTCTGACATTTTTGGATACTTTCTGACATTACATACTTGTTTCATGGCTTGCTACTGATTTCATTTTTAATTTTCCTAACATGTATCTTTTTGTCATTTTTTTGTTTGTTTTTTGTTTTTCCAGACAGGGTTTCTCTGTGTAGCTTTGGAGCCTGTCCTGGCACACTAGAGCAGGCTGGTCTCAAACTCGCAGAGATCTACCTCTGCCTCTGCCTCCCAAGTGCTGGGATTAAAGGCCTCTTCTAGTCATTTTTAAAGATATTTGTTTCAGGAAACTTGATTGTCTATGGACTAAGAATCCATCTACTAGTTTCTACTGTATATGAATTCTAGATTCAATTTTTTTAGACTTTTGGTAATTCATCCTACATACATTATTTGAACCACCATACAGAAGGTCCTTTCTCTCTGATAGCTTCTCCGTTGCTTTCATCCTTGAAATTGCAGGATGTCTTGGTTTCATGCTTGCATGTGGGACTCCCCCAGCCTTCTAAGCATGGCTTTCATTCTCTGAGGAGTCACATTCCCCCTCAGTCCTTCCTGCTCTCTGAAGGTTTCATGTCTTTAATCTTTTGTTTTATGAGATCGTGTCTTACTTTTTTACTCTATGTTGTGGGAAATCCTTCACTTGCTGGTTTGCATATAGTTTTCCCAGGGTAGAGAGAAGGTCCAGGGCTTATCATGCTTGTTCTTCGACTGGTTGTCCTGGTATGCTTGGATTCAGCTAAGTGGACATCTATAGAGGAGGCAACATTTGCAGTTCCTGGCTTTGTGGTAGATGTGCTCAGGCCTCCCAGAGCTGCTGTTCCTATCATGGCACAACGATGTTCTAGAAGGGAGTACGAGCTAAATGTGGGACCTTGCTTCTGAGTGGCTACAGGATGACTTTGGCTCCAGAATTAACCCACCTTTAAAAAGTTTATTTTCTAACAGGGAAATCACCTTTAATCCCAGGACTCAGGAGGCAGACAGGTAAGAGAAAGTTCCAGGACAGCTGGAAAACAAAACAAAACAGACAACAATAACAAAAAGACTTTATTTCCAAACCATAGTTTGACTGCAGTGGGGCACGAATATTGGTCAGCAAAAAGCTCATGGGACTCCAGTCCCAACCTGGGATGCTTAGGTGAGCAAGACTGTATTGTCCCAGTAACTGTTTGGTGTCACATCCTGAGAGGTGGTCCTGTCCTGCCTACTGTGTGGAGGAAGACTCTCCAGCTCAGGAAGATGGGGGTTCCAGTCTTGAGTGAAAAGTTTGTCTGTTTATCTGAGGCATCCACCTTAATACCACTCCTTTATTCCCATGACACCCGTCATAAGCCTTTAAAGGAAACCAAAGAACCACTTAGTCGTCACCCTCGTTTCAAAACATGCAGAGATTAATCTCACAGTGAAAACTCTCAGGAAACCACTAACTTTTAGCCTTTTTTTTTCCGGTTTTTCGAGACAGGGTTTCTCTGTGGCTTTGGAGGCTGTCCTGGAACTAGCTCTTGTAGACCAGGCTGACCTCGAACTCACAGAGATCCGCCTGCCTCTGCCTCCCAAGTGCTAGGCTAAAGTAGACGTAACCAACTGGAGAGTAAGACCTGTGTCTCTGAGCTACCCACAGGGATCTCGAAACCTTCAGCAGTCTCTACAGCCCAGGGTTCTCAACCTGTAAGTTGAGACCCATACACAGGGGTCCTGTATTAGATATCCTGCATATCAGATATTTACATTATAATTCATAACAGTAGAAAAATTAGTTAGGAAGTAGCAAGTAAATAACTTTATGGTTGGGGGTCACCACAACATGAGAAACTGTATTAAAGGTGGCAGCATTAGGAAGGTTGAGAACCAATGCTCTACAGTTTTACCAGGTCCTAGGTAGAGACATCCGATATCCCTGCTTAATACCTGTACTAGTGAAATGCTTAAAAGAAGGCCCGAGTCAGTTGTGGTGGCCCAGGCCTTTAATTCCAGCACTTGGGAGGCAGGTCTCTGTGAGTTTGAGGCCAGCCTGGTCTACGTAGTGACTTCCAGGACAGCATGAACTACACAGTGAGACCCTGTCTCAAAACCACAAACAAAAACGAAGGCCTATGTTGGGGACATGCGCCCCCAGACCTGGCTGCTCCATACTTTTTGAGACCTCCATACTTGTTAAGGTCACAAGTCATCCACAATTCCTTTCTATACCCTGTCCTAACCAATCACTGACCCCCTCCTTGTGACCTCTCTAGTGACACCTTAGGGTCCTCCAATGATAGCCATTTATGTCTCAAAGGGATCCACACTTGTCTGGTGACCCTTCCTCAGGGACCACATTTCCATCCCCTAAGTAACCCCTCATGAACCACCCTGGTCATGTGACACCATCAAACCCTCACTTACCCTCCTCAGGCTGTCTACTCTTGATTTCCTCAGGAGCCATCGCCTGGAGGACACACTCTCAGGAGACCCTACCTGCCCCTGAGGGTCAGCATTATTGCCCTACTCAGTGCTACTACAGCCCCTAGTAAACACCATCTGGTTACCCCAGCGGCAGTCCTTCCCTCTTCATCCTTCAGGAGCCCCACCCTTTCCTCCTCAGAACCACCCTTCCTAGTCACCCCACTTCAGCAGCACTCCTCCCCCGTCCTCAGGATCCCCACCCTTACTCCCCTAGAGAGAGCCACCCTTCCTGGTCACCCCACTGTAGCCTTCGCGTCCTGCCCCGCCCCCTCATCCCGGCTTGGCGCGGCGCGCGTCATGGCGGCGGCGGGCGGGGCGCGTCTCGCACGCAGCGCGCCGGGCGGAGCGCTCGCCGCATTGTTTGCTTCGCTGGGGAGCGAGCAGCGCCTCGGCAGGCGTCCGAGAAGCTCCGCGTCCGTGTCCTCCGCCCGGCCGGGCCCCGAGCCGGCCTCAGCCGGCCGTGCCGGCGCCGCCGACCCCGCCCGAGCCGCGGCGCCCTGCGGGCCCGGAGCCGCCGGTCGAGCGCGCCCCGGAGCCCGGCGGGGCTCGGCTGCGCGGCCGTTGGCGGAGGAGCCGCGGCGCCATTAGCGCCGCCTCGGCCGCGCCGGCCCCCGCGCCTGCCCGCCCGCCGGGCTCCCGCGGCCGCGGCGCCCCGAAGGTGAGTGTCTGGCGGTCGCCGCTCTCCGCCCGCTTCGCCGGCCGGGGCGGAGGTGCCGGCGCCATGTTTGGCGGCCGCGGCGGCGGCTCCGCATTGTCCGCGGGCGGGGAGGCCGGAGAATCGGAGCGGCGAGGCCCGGAGGCCGTGAGGCCTGGCAGGCGCGGGGGCCGGAGGAACTGAGAAGGCCGGGCCGGCGTGGGCCGCGGTGAGCCGGCGCGCCCGAGGGTGCCGAGATCGGTGCAGGCGGCTTGCCGAAGAGGGAGGCGAGGCCGCGGCTGGATCGCGGAGGCGGAGGCCGCAGCCGGGTGGGGGCGGAGAGGGACACAGAGGCCGCGGCGGGGTCGGGGAGACAGACTGAGGCGTAGAAGGAGGCCGCCGCGGCGCGGGAGGCGCGGCCAAGAGAATGGAGCCGGCGGCGGGGCTCAGGAGGCGGGGAAGCAGTCGGGCCGGGCGGGCGGGCTCTGCACGCCCCGGCTGTCGGTCTGAGCGGCCGGGGCAACATCGAAGCCGGGCGTCAGACAGCGGAGGAGGCGGAAGGCCTGGGGTCTCGCGGCGTCTGCCCACGTCCTCGCCCGTAGTCTTGGCGGCGCGGAGCGGGTCGCATTATGTAACAGATAGGTCCGATCTATTTTGCCAAGACAGGAAACTCCCTCGAAAAGGGACGGGCTCGGAAGATTTCCTAAGTCGAGCGCGTCCGGGTATCTCCGGAGCAAGCCTGTAGCTCCGCCAAACTCCGTGGATGTGTGCAGGAAACGCTGAGAAACGAACGCGCGTGCGCGGCTTTCTTGGGCCTTTTAGGAGAGAAGCAACTTTCCTGTGCATAATTTGCAGAAAAACACAGCTCCTCTTCATGCACTACAGTTGTGACACACTTATGCACACCTAGGAAACCGCCCCCTTAATGGAGGATTTTCCCTTCACCCAGCTGCGACTGTTGAGAGTTTCTGTCATCTGGTAACATATAGTTACAGAGTTGGGGTATTTATTTACTGTCTTAACACCTGCTGGGTCTAGCACTGTCCCGAGTTTGTGTTCACTCTTTGCACGGTCACACGGCCCTTAGAGGTGTGTCTCTTTCCTGTGTGTGCTTGTATAGTGAGGGGTAGAAGCTGGAAGTTTAAATGGCTTGCCTACAAACACCCAGACAGGAAATGAATTGAGCTGATGTTGAGCGTGGAGTCTTTACCTCTTTTTGCCAGCAAAGCTTTTTAGGATGTGTTTAGCACAGTTATTTCTGGAGAAGCATGCTTATTGCCTTTCTGATCCCTCCATGGAAATGCTTGTTTCTGCACAGAGACAGAGGGTCAAAGTGCTGGGTATAGGAAAAACCAGGAAGCAGATGAGATTGTTGGTCACTGTGCTGAGCGGTGCTGCTAAATGCCCTCTTTCCGCGGGTCACAATTACATTTTCAAATTACAGAGTGACTGTGGCCATTAAGTATTAGGTTCAGTTCTTGGAGAAAAGTGGTTTAAAGATCTTCAGTGCTCACTAGAAGAGTGTGGGATTTGAAGGGCTGGTTACAGTACTTTACTGTAGAGGAGAAAATTATAAGTTTGTCTTTAATTTGGGAGCTGTTGCTTCTATCCTGCTTTGGTAGTGATTTGTGAAGTGTCCTGGGTGCAGTAGTTTTTTCTGTGCAGGATACTTGGATGTACATCTCTCTTTTAAGGGATGCTGCTTGAGACCTAGAACTGGCTAGGGTGTCGTTGTTGACAGTTCCCTGAGAATCCAGGGTTGAGTAGGCACCTGGAGGTCCCACAGATGTAGGTGCATTGGGGTCTGGCTGACCACAGTATTCTCTTGTTCATAGGGAGAATTTTCACACAGAAAGGTGATTCTCTGCAGCCTGTAAGATCTGTCTTACAAACTGCATATAGGATTTGCAGAGATTTCTTTTTGGGACTTAACATTTGAAGTCTTCTGTTTGAATTTTTCTCAAAGACTGGTAAGATAACTGAGGTTGTGGATCCAGGCATCCTTTTAAGAGCACTGATTCTGGGCTGTTCTGACATTTGAGCTTGGGATGTTTGAGTTAGTCTTACTTGGCTTCTTAGCAGTGAAGTGGGCTTGTTCAGAGGGAGGAGTTTGAGTGGTCTCTGCCCTTGTTGCTCCATATGCTTGTCCACTTGACTACTGGCTCAGAATGGACGTGTCTGCTCTTAAGACATACAGACACTAAGTCACCTCAGGGAAAACCAAAAGAAAGAGGAGTCCACTACAATGAGGTGGTAGAGTAGACTGTTAATGCCCTGATTTTGTCCATACTGGAAATGAACAAATCTCTGCATTGAAGTTTTCAGGCATGCGAACCAGTTCAGGGTAGGGGAACTCTGCAGGCTCTTTGTGGTTTGAAGGAACCCATTCTTTCTTTGGAGCAAGAGCTGAGCATTTTCAAGTGTGTCAGGAAAGAGAGCAGAGATGCCCTTTGACATCTTGCCCACAACTAGGTTGACTTGAAGAGTATGTGTCCCAGCACATAGCCAGGTCCTGGCCCGAATGAGAGGGAAAGGCTGATTGATGCTGCTGCCCATGGGGGTATCCCGGGTGGTCACTGCTTCGGCTCAGGGGAAGATACATTGGACTGCTTGGGGAAAAGAGATGCCACAAATCTGTTCAGGGTTCTCTTCTAAGTCCTGATGAGACTGTGTGTGTGTTTTAGGATGTGGAAAGAATGAACTACTACATGTTTCTAGCCCCCAGCAGCAAGGTTTATAGGAACATCAGCTGGGCAGTAGTGGGAAAGAGAAAGACTTTTCTAAAAGGTTAAGACTAGATGGCCACTGAGCATACCTTTGTTGGGCCACAAATCATAGTCTCTATGTGTTATGAAGTCTGTCTGAAAAACTGTCCTATACTTGTGAGTGAAGGGCCAGTGTCTCAACTCTGGCCGATATGTTGCTGTTTTGTAGGTGACTTTTGGCTTGAACTAAAAAGGTGACTCGTGGATAGTATGCACCTGTGCCCAAGCCATTCAGCAAGAACCCTGAGGACCGCTGCCTCCTGCTGCCTCTGTGCCTATCAGTACCTTTACTTGAGTGTGGTGAGGGGTACTATTGAAGGCTTATTGAAATGTCCTAGAAGTTAGTTGTTTGGAAGTCTTAGAAGTATTCAAGCTCTGAGCTTCATTTGTGGGGTGTTGAGTTGATTTGTTAGTGCTACCCAAGCATATTTTGTGGTTTTCTGAAGCCTTTTGTAATCCTGCATGGAATTAACTGTTTCCTTGACTTTATTTTAGGTAATCATTGCCAAATGAGGAGGAAAGGACGATGTCATCGAGGCTCTGCAGCGAGGCATCCTTCTTCCCCGTGCAGTATTAAACACTCCCCCACTCGAGAAACATTAACATACGCACAAGCTCAAAGGATGGTGGAGATAGAAATTGAAGGGCGCTTGCATCGGATCAGTATTTTTGATCCCTTGGAGATCATACTAGAAGATGACCTCACTGCTCAAGAAATGAGTGAATGCAACAGTAATAAAGAAAACAGTGAGAGGCCTCCTGTTTGCTTAAGAACTAAGCGTCATAAAAACAACAGAGTCAAAAAGAAAAATGAAGCTCTGCCCAGCACCCATGGCACACCAGCTTCAACCAGTGCCCTTCCTGAGCCCAAGGTTCGAATTGTGGAGTATAGTCCTCCATCTGCACCCAGGAGGCCCCCTGTGTACTACAAGTTCATTGAGAAGTCAGCTGAGGAGCTGGACAATGAAGTAGAGTACGACATGGATGAGGAAGATTATGCCTGGTTAGAGATCATCAACGAGAAGCGGAAAGGTGACTGTGTGTCTGCTGTGTCACAGAATATGTTTGAGTTCCTGATGGACCGCTTTGAGAAGGAGTCATACTGTGAGAACCAGAAGCAAGGTGAGCAGCAGTCATTGATTGATGAGGATGCCGTTTGCTGCATCTGCATGGATGGGGAGTGTCAGAACAGCAATGTGATACTCTTTTGTGACATGTGTAACCTGGCTGTGCACCAGGAGTGCTATGGGGTTCCCTACATCCCCGAGGGCCAGTGGCTTTGCCGCCACTGCCTGCAGTCTCGGGCCCGCCCTGCGGATTGCGTGTTGTGCCCGAATAAGGGTGGTGCCTTCAAAAAGACGGACGATGACCGCTGGGGCCATGTGGTATGTGCCCTGTGGATCCCAGAGGTTGGCTTTGCCAACACGGTATTCATTGAGCCCATCGATGGTGTGAGGAACATACCTCCTGCTCGGTGGAAACTGACATGCTACCTCTGTAAGCAGAAAGGCGTGGGTGCCTGCATTCAGTGCCACAAAGCAAACTGCTACACAGCATTCCATGTGACATGTGCCCAGAAGGCTGGCCTGTACATGAAGATGGAGCCTGTGAAGGAGCTGACTGGAGGCAGCACCACGTTCTCTGTCAGAAAGACTGCTTTCTGTGATGTCCACACACCTCCGGGCTGTACCCGGAGGCCTCTGAACATTTATGGAGATGCTGAGATGAAAAATGGTGTCTGTCGAAAAGAAAGCTCAGTCAAAACGGTCAGGTCTACGTCCAAGGTCAGGAAAAAAGCAAAAAAGGCTAAGAAAACACTGGCTGA